TCTATCAGCTGGTCACATATGTAGTTGACTGTTTCAAGCAGTGGGACGTTGGTGAATAATGATGCTACATCCAGTGACATCATTTTCTTTCCCTTTACATTCAAGCTTTTGGTAGTTTCCACAAAGCTGAATACGTCTTTTACACTGAATTTCACTACTTCGCGATGTAGTGGTTCTAGTGCCTTTACCAACCACTTAGCTGTAGAATGATAAGGGGATTGGCACATATCTAAGATGGGACGTAGTGGTACTCCCGGCTTATGGACTTTCGGTAAACCATAAAGTCTTGGTGTGTGCGTACCTGAGGGTTTCAATTCGTCGAGTGTTTCTTTAGGAATCAGATTACTCTCAACTAATGATTTTAGTGTCTTAGCCATTTGGCGTTCGGTTGCCTCCGTTGTGTCTTTACAACTGCTTAGCTTTTGAAATTTCGTATGGTCGTTTAGAATGATATTCATTTTGTCTAAATAATCACTCTTGTTCATGATAACTGTGCCAGATCCTTTATCAGGTCTAGTTATTATCAGATTTTCGTTCTTTTTGAGGTCACGTAATGCCTCTCGGTGTTTCTTTGTAAGTAGACTGTTGGCGGGATGTTTGCTGTTCTTAAACTGGTAGCAGGAATCGATTAGGGTACTTTTAAATCTTTCCAGCTCATACTTGAACGTAGGAGTTAGGTCGCTTGTCTGGGAAAATAGGTTTTCAAATTGGACATCAGTCTCTAAATGATCAACCTGATTACGTCTGTCACAGAATTTTAAACCGAGAGATAAGGCTTCAAGCTGTGTCTTATCTGTATGCTTAGACGTAATCAGGTTGATCATTTAGAGACTGATGTCCAATTTGAAAACCTATTTTCCCAGACAAGCGACCTAACTCCTACGTTCAAGTATGAGCTGGAAATATTTAAAAGTACCCTAATCGATTCCTGCTACCAGTTTAAGAACAGCAAACATCCCGCCAACAGTCTACTTACAAAGAAACACCGAGAGGCATTATGTGACCTCAAAAAGAACGAAAATCTGATAATAACTAGACCTGATAAAGGATCTGGCACAGTTATCATGAACAAGAGTGATTATTTAGACAAAATGAATATCATTCTAAACGACCATACGAAATTTCAAAAGTTAAGCAATTGTAAAGACACAACGGAGGCAACCGAACGCCAAATGGCTAAGACACTCAAATCATTAGTTGAGAATAATCTGATTCCTAAAGAAACACTCGACGAATTGAAACCCTCAGGTACGCACACACCAAGACTTTATGGTTTACCGAAAGTCCATAAGCCGGGAGTACCACTACGTCCCATCTTAGATATGTGCCAATCCCCTTATCATTCTACAGCTAAGTGGTTGGTAAAGGCACTAGAACCACTACATCGCGAAGTAGTGAAATTCAGTGTAAAAGACGTATTCAGCTTTGTGGAAACTACCAAAAGCTTGAATGTAAAGGGAAAGAAAATGATGTCACTGGATGTAGAATCATTATTCACCAACGTCCCACTGCTTGAAACAGTCAACTACATATGTGACCAGCTGATAGAAAAGAAAATAGATGTAGGAATCCCACCCGAAAAGGTCAAAGAATTATTATTGAAATGCACTATGAATGTTCAGTTTATGTTCAATAATGGTTTTTATAGACAAGTTGATGGGGTAGCCATGGGATCACCTTTGGGCCCTTTGCTAGCGGATATTTTCCTGGCAAAGCTTGAAAATGGTCCACTCAAAGACACGATTAAAGAGCTTGACTATTATTGTCGATACGTAGATGATACGTTTATCGTTTGTAATAGAAATCTTAATAAACAAGAGCTTCTGAATACCGTTAATAGTGTTCACCCAACTATTCAGTTTACATGTGAAGAAGAAGACAATAACAGTTTACCTTTCCTAGACGTCCTACTTACCATGAAGACAGACGGATATCTACAAAGGAAATTATTTAGAAAGAAAACTTGGACGGGTCAGTACACCCATTTCCATAGTTTCACACCGATTCAGCATAAAAGAAACTTAGTTAAGTGTCTTAGCTACAGAATAAAACGAATATGCTCAGAGGAATGCATTAAGGAAGAAATGCATAAACTAAAACTCACACTGCAAGAAAATGGATATCCACAGAGCTTCCTAAAAAAGTACATGTCAATACCTATAGACAGGGTAAAGGTGGATACCGTAGACAAGAAACCTTTGTATCTTAAGTTAAGTTACAAAGGGGAAATTGCAGCTGACATTCTAAAGTGTCGACTCAATAGAGCAATAGATAGAACATTTCCCGCAGCTAAATTGGTACTAAACTTCTCAACTAAACCAGTACTCACACAGCAAGTAAAGGATAAATTACCAAAGATGGCCTCATCAATGTGCATCTACGAATTCAACTGCTCATGTGGAGCTAGTTATATTGGCCGTACTCAGAGGGCTTTATCCATGCGCGCACGTGAACATGTACCTGTATGGTTGAGTAAAGGAGTAACCAAAGGCATAAATAGTGCAGTCTTAGCCCACTTGGTAGATACTGGACACCCGATAAAACTTGACCAAGCGTTCTCAGTTATTTACCGCGTTCCTAGTAATTTATCTAGAGGAGCTCGACTACGTCTTCTATCAGTAGCTGAAGCAGTTGCAATTAATACCAGAAGACCATCCCTCTGCATACAGAAGAAGTATGTTCAACCTCTATGTTTACCTTGGCCTACAATAAAGCCAACAAATCCTCCACTAACACTATAAATTCCTTTCACAATTTTCTTTTCTTTTCCTTCTTCTATTCCTCTGTTTCATTGACAAACGTTCATTTTCGACTTTTATGATTTCATGACCTTTCTTATGATTTTATTACCTTAGGTTTAAAAAGTGCTTTTCTAACTTGCTATCGTATTTACAAAATCCTGTCCATTCCACTTCATTATATTCATTATTATTATTTGACAATCATTCACCAATAGTACATTTAATTTTAATTTTACACCATATCATCGTTATTATTTTACAATCATTCTTATTGTTGTTATTTTCAACCTTGAAGTTATGTCTAGACCGCCCCATTCGTTGGTTTATTTTCATATTGCCTCACACACCCTGATTACACTCACTCTTGAAACCTGTATTTTCTGTTAACTATATTTATATATATACACACATTAAATTAAATTATTTCATCTCATTCTGTCCCATTTTGTTATTGACCATGCATATTAAAAAACTATATGACTATTGTTTCATCCCATCTTATACTTGTTCCACAATACACTTTCTGATATGATTCTAATTCGCCTTTCCTGGCTATTGTATACTTACATTAATGGATTTATAATTGTAGAGCCTGAAGAAGAATTTCTTGAAAACAATTCTTCGCTCTAAATATTTTGTTCTGAATAAATTATGGGAATATTTAATTTACTGATCTCGATATGCTTATGAGCAATAAATTGTGCTCGAAACGTCCTCAATAAAATATTACTGTTTAACACCGAGAGACTTTATCAAAATTAATTTAACACATAATGGAATTACACTCTACCACAGTGCGCACAAGTTCTATTCTTATATCAATAAGTTTCATTGTCTCAAAACAACAGTCAGAAGAGATGGACAGCACCTGCATAGTATATACATGTTTAGAATGAACCTGAGAGACACTAATGTCACTCATGAATGAAACCAATAGGATTTCATAGGTCATATCAGGAAGGCGAGAGAAACTTAGGCCATAGATCAATAAGTTTGGTGAGTGATATACAAACATACTCGTAGAAATGACAAATAGAAAATAAGGTCTGTCTTTCTGGACTGATTAGTGTTCATTAATCTGATTGGATAATGCAATCCCACTTACAACTTTTAGTACTAATATATAGCCACAAGTACTCACAAGCAGTCACTTTTTGAAAAACAAACTGGCTGTCCGGATTATCGAGAGCTGTTAGCTGCTGGAAATGTCCTCTCTCTCTCTACAAGGTAACATGATGTTTTTTGATTATTTAATTAATATTTATATTCATACAAATATAAGTTGAATTATGCATAATTTTAAGAAGTAACCATAGTAGCATACTTCAGTGACTCTTGGTCTCGTACCAGTTTCGTATGCCAATTGACAACTCATATTTGGCGTTAGCTGCGTTTGCTTATCCTTTAGGCGATAGTGACTCTTTGTTTTGGTGTTTCTTAGACAGATCAACCAGCTCATATAGTTGTTGTTTGTATACTCTACTGAAATACAAGTTAAGTCAGTCTCAAACTAGGAAGTGTTATAACCAGGAGTGAAGCTTCAAATTCAAAACTTCGACGTTGATTACTTGCATGATAGACATATATGTGACAGGGCCGAAATGAAAATGGAGCATCAGTTAGCGCTGTACTTATTAACTAGCCGTATGGTTTTTCTAAATAATTTCCGCTTACTAGACTTGGTTAACTCGTGTAGTTTAATTTGTCTATACTTTAGGCGCGGTTTTAGATCTGATTTCTGAGATGCATTTATTCTGTGGAACAAAATATTTTAGCATAATTGCAGATGCACATTATCCTTTATTTATTTTGTCAACCAAGATGTAGTTGTAGATTATTCTTAAGACTGGATATTATATATCATTGTACTGACTAAAACTTTCAAAGCTGTATCCTACAGTTGAGTTGGATCGAGAAGAGTGAAAACTGGGATTTAGTGTCTCCTATGCATGTTCTCACCAAAATCGATGCAATTGACTTCAGCAATAGTGATGCTCTAATCTACCCTTACGCACTCTTGGATTCGCATTATTCTAGTCGTTCACTGCATGAGGAACGGTCCATTAAGAAAAGCAGTCAGGTGAATAAGCACTCTACATCGACAAAGCACAAAACCGATTTGAATAGCTCTTATTCGACAGAAAATACCACCCAACCCATAACCGAAGTCGGATTGGTTCAAATAGTCTCGTACCCTATATCAGCACAGATGATAAACTGCCTCATGACAATAAAAATCATTCATATCCTAAAAGAAAAATGAGACGAAAAGACGACGATGCTGTTCTGCCCAAAAGCTATGCCTTGCCAGAAAGTAATGCTACTAATCTAAATTCATCATCAAAAGGTCAAACTTCTGAGATACTTAATAGTGTCAGTTATAAAAAGCACTGCAAGATCTACATGGGATTCTAGTGATAGTGACTTTGATTCTACGGTTGTTCGTACAGAAAAGGCTAGCGAAAGTGAGAATACTATCCCAGTATATAATCATACATCAAATCTATCGAATTCTTCACGTAAGACATCTCACTCCACTGCAAATAAGTTAAGTTCATCGAAAGAATCGAAAAGCATTCCAACTACGAAAAGGAAAAATGACACTTGTAGCAAAGATGGTTCAGTCAACTCTAAAGAAGCTCGGTCCAAGTTATCCAGTAGTGATTCAGACAATAGAAGACGCGAAAAAACTTCAAATCGTCAACGGTCTAGCAAACGACGAAGAAAATCCATAATCTTTTGTCGCACTCACCACTTGATTACCCTGTTAGTAAACTTCCCTCAGTCATATGACGATTTGGAGCATAGGCTTCTGTTCTCAGTATCCCATTACTTAATGTGCATGGCTGTTTTGTAGCTATATCATCTAATGCATCCACATTAGCCTTCAAGGACATAGTTGGATAGGGGAGTATAACGTGACTTAGAAGCTCTGAACCCCTGTGCAATTAGAAAACGGGACATGTCTTATTCTTATAATGTGGTGAATAAGACTAATGTCCCGTTTTCTAATTGCACAGGGGTTCAGAGCTTCTAAGTCACGTTATACTCCCCTATCCAACTATGTCCTTGAAGGCTAATGTGGATGCATTAGATGATATAGCTACGAAACAGCCATGCACATTAAGTAATGGGATACTGAGAACAGAAGCCTATGCTCCAAATCGTCATATGACTGAGGGAAGTTTACTAACAGGGTAATCAAGTGGTGAGTGCGACAAAAGATTATTTTATTTTATCAAACAAGTGTCAAACATGTTGCATTGCGGTAAGGTTCTCTAACACATATACAGCAGACAATCAGTCTACTTCCTACTAAACAGGCTGAAAGTTAAATTTGCAAATCCGGTTTTAAAACACCTTTAATGTGCGACAACTTGTCGATTCAACCGACTGTCTTGTCAGTCACCTAGATGTTCGTGAAGGTGTCCTGAAGTAAAATTATTTGACTCCGAATTCCCTATTATCTTAACACCGAAGGAATAAAATAAACAATATTAAGGTAAAACAATATGTTAAATAAAATAATACTTCATGAAAACCTTAGGTCGTTTAATTTAGCCTCTGTCATGTTAGAAGCACAAAAGTCTACCCTACCAACTGCGTAGCAATGATAACCATTGGTTGGCTTGAGAACAATGATAGGGAAATCTCAGAAATACTTAAGTTAAACTACTTTAATTTTTCTTATATGGATAGTTCATCTTACGAAAACAAGTCAGATTTTGTCGCGCAGCTTGTATTAGTAATAAGAAATTCTAATCTTCTGTAGAACGTTATACCAGATAACCAAGTCTCTATCCGGGAAAATATCAACGCAGATGAAACCTATAAAAGATGGTCAAGGAAACCTAATTACAAAAGATGAGAGACGAATGAGACAAAGGGCTGACGACTTAAGGACTCTTGAATCGACCACCACCTGCAATTCGTCCACAAATACCGCAAACAACACGCAGAGAACCGCATGCCAATGAACGCCAATCCTCCAACAAAAGCATAAATCTTGAATGCAATTAAGCTGCTGAAGTCCAGAAAGTGAGCAGAACCAGATGGAATTCTCTCGCCCCAAAGCATTGAAAACGGACCCAGAGACTGCAGCGCTTATGCAAAAATTTTGGAGGGGAGGGAAGGTGCCTACTGACTGGAAAAAAGGCTGGCTACAGTGTCAAACTACCAAAGAAGGGCGACTTACGCCTCACTCAGTAGGCACCTTCCCTCCCCTCCAAAATTTTTGCATAAGCGCTGCAGTCTCTGGGTCCGTTTTCAATGCTTTGGGGCGAGAGAATTCCATCTGGTTCTGCTCACTTTCTGGACTTCAGCAGCTTAATTGCATTCAAGATTTATGCTTTTGTTGGAGGATTGGCGTTCATTGGCATGCGGTTCTCTGCGTGTTGTTTGCGGTATTTGTGGACGAATTGCAGGTGGTGGTCGATTCAAGAGTCCTTAAGTCGTCAACCCTTTGTCTCATTCGTCTCTCATCTTTTGTAATTAGGTTTCCTTGACCATCTTTTATAGGTTTCATCTGCGTTGATATTTTCCCGGATAGAGACTTGGTTATCTGGTATAACGTTCTACAGAAGATTAGAATTTCTTATTACTAATACAAGTTGCGCGACAAAATCTGACTTGTTTTCGTAAGATGAACTATCCATATAAGAAAAATTAAAGTAGTTTAACTTAAGTATTTCTGAGATTTCCCTATCATTGTTCTCAAGCCAACCAATGGTTATCATTGCTACGCAGTTGGTAGGGTAGACTTTTGTGCTTCTAACATGACAGAGGCTAAATTAAACGACCTAAGGTTTTCATGAAGTATTATTTTATTTAACATATTGTTTTACCTTAATATTGTTTATTTTATTCCTTCGGTGTTAAGATAATAGGGAATTCGGAGTCAAATAATTTTACTTCAGGACACCTTCACGAACATCTAGGTGACTGACAAGACAGTCGGTTGAATCGACAAGTTGTCGCACATTAAAGGTGTTTTAAAACCGGATTTGCAAATTTAACTTTCAGCCTGTTTAGTAGGAAGTAGACTGATTGTCTGCTGTATATGTGTTAGAGAACCTTACCGCAATGCAACATGTTTGACACTTGTTTGATAAAATAAAATAATCTTTTGTCGCACTCACCACTTGATTACCCTGTTAGTAAACTTCCCTCAGTCATATGACGATTTGGAGCATAGGCTTCTGTTCTCAGTATCCCATTACTTAATGTGCATGGCTGTTTCGTAGCTATATCATCTAATGAATCCACATTAGCCTTCAAGGACATAGTTGGATAGGGGAGTATAACGTGACTTAGAAGCTCTGAACCCCTGTGCAATTAGAAAACGGGACATTAGTCTTATTCACCACATTATAAGAATAAGACATGTCCCGTTTTCTAATTGCACAGGGGTTCAGAGCTTCTAAGTCACGTTATACTCCCCTATCCAACTATGTCCTTGAAGGCTAATGTGGATGCATTAGATGATATAGCTACAAAACAGCCATGCACATTAAGTAATGGGATACTGAGAACAGAAGCCTATGCTCCAAATCGTCATATGACTGAGGGAAGTTTACTAACAGGGTAATCAAGTGGTGAGTGCGACAAAAGATTATGGATTTTCTTCGTCGTTTGCTAGACCGTTGACGATTTGAAGTTTTTTCGCGTCTTCTATTGTCTGAATCACTACTGGATAACTTGGACCGAGCTTCTTTAGAGTTGACTGAACCATCTTTGCTACAAGTGTCATTTTTCCTTTTCGTAGTTGGAATGCTTTTCGATTCTTTCGATGAACTTAACTTATTTGCAGTGGAGTGAGATGTCTTACGTGAAGAATTCGATAGATTTGATGTATGATTATATACTGGGATAGTATTCTCACTTTCGCTAGCCTTTTCTGTACGAACAACCGTAGAATCAAAGTCACTATCACTAGAATCCCATGTAGATCTTGCAGTGCTTTTTATAACTGACACTATTAAGTATCTCAGAAGTTTGACCTTTTGATGATGAATTTAGATTAGTAGCATTACTTTCTGGCAAGGCATAGCTTTTGGGCAGAACAGCATCGTCGTCTTTTCGTCTCATTTTTCTTTTAGGATATGAATGATTTTTATTGTCATGAGGCAGTTTATCATCTGTGCTGATATAGGGTACGAGACTATTTGAACCAATCCGACTTCGGTTATGGGTTGAGTGGTATTTTCTGTCGAATAAGAGCTATTCAAATCGGTTTTGTGCTTTGTCGATGTAGAGTGCTTATTCACCTGACTGCTTTTCTTAATGGACCGTTCCTCATGCAGTGAACGACTAGAATAATGCGAATCCAAGAGTGCGTAAGGGTAGATTAGAGCATCACTATTGCTGAAGTCAATTGCATCGATTTTGGTGAGAACATGCATAGGAGACACTAAATCCCAGTTTTCACTCTTCTCGATCCAACTCAACTGTAGGATACAGCTTTGAAAGTTTTAGTCAGTACAATGATATATAATATCCAGTCTTAAGAATAATCTACAACTACATCTTGGTTGACAAAATAAATAAAGGATAATGTGCATCTGCAATTATGCTAAAATATTTTGTTCCACAGAATAAATGCATCTCAGAAATCAGATCTAAAACCGCGCCTAAAGTATAGACAAATTAAACTACACGAGTTAACCAAGTCTAGTAAGCGGAAATTATTTAGAAAAACCATACGGCTAGTTAATAAGTACAGCGCTAACTGATGCTCCATTTTCATTTCGGCCCTGTCACATATATGTCTATCATGCAAGTAATCAACGTCGAAGTTTTGAATTTGAAGCTTCACTCCTGGTTATAACACTTCCTAGTTTGAGACTGACTTAACTTGTATTTCAGTAGAGTATACAAACAGCAACTATATGAGCTGGTTGATCTGTCTAAGAAACACCAAAACAAAGAGTCACTATCGCCTAGGGATAAGCAAACGCAGCTAACGCCAAATATGAGTTGTCAATTGGCATACGAAACTGGTACGAGACCAAGAGTCACTGAAGTATGCTACTATGGTTACTTCTTAAAATTATGCATAATTCAACTTATATTTGTGTGAATATAAATATTAATTAAATAATCAAAAAACATCATGTTACCTTGTAGAGAGAGAGAGGACATTTCCAGCAGCTAACAGCCCTCGATAATCCGGACAGCCAGTTTGTTTTTCAAAAAGTGACTGCTTGTGAGTACTTGTGGCTATATATTAGTACTAAAAGTTGTAAGTGGGATTGCATTATCCAATCAGATTAATGAACACTAATCAGTCCAGAAAGACAGACCTTATTTTCTATTTGTCATTTCTACGAGTATGTTTGTATATCACTCACCAAACTTATTGATCTATGGCCTAAGTTTCTCTCGCCTTCCTGATATGACCTATGAAATCCTATTGGTTTCATTCATGAGTGACATTAGTGTCTCTCAGGTTCATTCTAAACATGTATATACTATGCAGGTGCTGTCCATCTCTTCTGACTGTTGTTTTGAGACAATGAAACTTATTGATATAAGAATAGAACTTGTGCGCACTGTGGTAGAGTGTAATTCCATTATGTGTTAAATTAATTTTGATAAAGTCTCTCGGTGTTAAACAGTAATATTTTATTGAGGACGTTTCGAGCACAATTTATTGCTCATAAGCATATCGAGATCAGTAAATTAAATATTCCCATAATTTATTCAGAACAAAATATTTAGAGCGAAGAATTGTTTTCAAGAAATTCTTCTTCAGGCTCTACAATTATAAATCCATTAATGTAAGTATACAATAGCCAGGAAAGGCGAATTAGAATCATATCAGAAAGTGTATTGTGGAACAAGTATAAGATGGGATGAAACAATAGTCATATAGTTTTTTAATATGCATGGTCAATAACAAAATGGGACAGAATGAGATGAAATAATTTAATTTAATGTGTGTATATATATAAATATAGTTAACAGAAAATACAGGTTTCAAGAGTGAGTGTAATCAGGGTGTGTGAGGCAATATGAAAATAAACCAACGAATGGGGCGGTCTAGACATAACTTCAAGGTTGAAAATAACAACAATAAGAATGATTGTAAAATAATAACGATGATATGGTGTAAAATTAAAATTAAATGTACTATTGGTGAGTGATTGTCAAATAATAATAATGAATATAATGAAGTGGAATGGACAGGATTTTGTAAATAC